ACTTTTTTAAAACATAAATCTTTTATCAGTTTTGTATGGGGTTTTATTTATTTAATGATATACTTAAATCCTGGTACTATATGACTCCCTGAGGCAAAAATAAAATACACACATTACAATACTTTTAATATAATCTACTACTCAGTTATTAGGTTTTTAGAGCACTATGTTGGCACAAAGTTATGTCATATTCTTATCAGGTTGCTGTTCCTGTGAAAAGGTCTTACCATTCTTCGCATATGAATATCTGTTGCTGTAGTTTGCATTCAGATGTTGCCACACTGGACTGTTGCTGTCAGCCTGCAAAGAAATGAAAAATCAAATTTACCCTTGAATTCTTGCACAAAAGCAGCAAACAGAAATGATGTGTTATGTTAAATTTGTAGGGGATAGAAAGAAGCAGGAAGAGTGCAAAAACAACCAGTGCCCTTCATGATATTCTGGACAGGCTAATAAATCGTGAATTCCAAAAGTTATGGGCTTCTTTATTTCACATCCACCTTAAAGCCAAAGTGGCAGTGTACGCTCCCTTCCCCTGCCCAGCTCTGAGCGTGGCGAATCGATTGTATCAGTGGAAGCAACACCAGTTTGTGCAAGATGACACTTTCTCCAAGTAAATCTGCAGAAAATCCTGGCAGCGGTGCAGAACATGCAGTCAGGATGGAATGCAGAAAAGCCCCCAGTTTTTCCTGCCAGACTTCAGTAAGGTGGATTTAGTTTGGTTTATTAAGGCTATAAAGTGTCCAGTGGTGGGAAAGCCATTATTCCACCCAGCATTATAAGTACTTTTGTATTAGCTGATACCCTGTCACATTCAGACTGTTGTTCAGAACAATGAATTCATCGTGACTTATAATGTAATAACAAGCTTCACACAAAGAGGACAGATATACATGTCAGACTACAGAATAGATATTTGTATTAAAGAATAATGGAAGAGTATGACATGCATGGAGAAGCATGGTAATTGAGGTCTTGGGGCAAGATGAGCTTATTTGATTAATAGGTTTCTAAACTGGAAATCCAAGCTCTATTTTGAAATGAAATACTCTACATGGTAATGAGATATGGCAACAACAAAGGCCTTTTCAGGTGATGTTTCTACAAGATGTCTTGCATGCAGTTGTCGTTACTTCTCTGCCTGACATTGTATTAGTTTTAGAGCAACCAGATGTTTGCATGAAGAGGCTGAACATGGATCCGAGGTCTTACCATGCCGTCAGAGCAGCTGGACAGTGGGCTACCAGGCTCAGAGCTGCTCTCTCCAGGTAGGCAGTAGTAGTTTTCCACCTGCTCTCGTAACAGGTCCTGCAGACTCTCAATGTAATGGATGGCGTTGCGCAGGATCTCCACCTTTGGCAGACGTTGGCTGGGGTTGGCCGAGGTGCAACGTCTCAAAGCCTCGAACGCGTGGTTGACCTTCTTCAGTCGCCGGCGCTCACGCATGGTGGCAGCCCGTCTGCGGTCCACAAAGTTGGACTTGCGCTTGCAGGCCTTGCAGGCCCACTGGAGACAGTGTCCCGGCTGGTGAGGTGCCCCGGGAACCCTGACATGCTCGTCCTCCTCAGAACCATCAAGCTCCACACCGGGTCCAAACTCCAGGCTATCTGGAGACGAAGCACACGCTCTGTCGTAGTAGACCTGGGATGGTGAGAAGACGTCCATAGCTTGTTGAAGAAAGGAGTCTGAATGGATGGAAAGATGGGCGCAATGGTAGAAAGGAGGGTAGAGGAGTGGGGTGAGAGAGAGGAGACCTCTGAGTGATATGAGGGGTCTGTTGCCCAGGGCCCCCCTTATATGCCCCCAGGCCAGAGCCCAGGGCCCACATTGGCCAGATCTAATTACCATGGCCCATTGGCCCAGCCAGAAGGCAGGCTGGGGTTAGCTCAGCTCCCTCCCTGCCCCATCCCAACCCACTGTCTCTCACCCCCCAGTACCCTGCAGAGTTTCCCACATCTGCACTTACTGGTGTTTTCCTACTCATCACCAATGTCTCCTTCCAAGAGCCTTTCTCCTGCAAGGCCATGATGAATACAACACTTGGGAATGTTTCAGGAGTGTGGGTGAACATTTGCAGCTTGAACCACCACATGACCTGTTTATAAGTCCTTCATTGTGCCTGATATATCTGTAACCGGCCTCCAGGCATCATGTCATAGCTGACAATGAAAGTGACACTTAACTATGAAGACATAAATATTAAAGAGAGTGCGTTTAGTTTAGTCAAACTGTGCAGAAAAAGAGGGTGACCACTTGTAGGAGTATGCAGGCCAATTTTTACGGTGGAGACAACAGCGTTGCAGATGCAGCCCAGCTGCAAGGGAAGGTGTAACATTTCAAGCCCTGTGAATTCACATTACAGTGGTAAGCCCCCTCTAAACACCCTGAGCTCATCACTGAAGGTGCTGTGAATGAGACCATCCCTGTTTGCCAAAGCTCATTAAAACAGTAATTACACAATTGACACCACTGCCCAATTCCTTGCACCATTTTGCCTCCAAGGACCAAATTTTAACCATTAAAAGTTATTGACGCAAGTGAAGAACTTCAATTCAGCACACAACAAATGGTCATTATGGTGCAGTAGGTTTCATTCAAGTGGAGAACTGGGGGTTTAAGGGGCTTTAATGAGGAATGCAAAGTTGTTTATAGTGCAGAAATATTGCTTGTTACTTATGCTACTTATGTTATGTTACTTTACAGAGTAAATCAAACTAAGGCGGTTTAGACAGTTAGACTTTTATCAAATGCAAATATCTTCATGTTAATAGAGAGATTTGCCTAAATTTTCTAGAAAATAAAGATCATAGCATCGTCTGCACTGGAGTCAGGTTGTCTTTCTATTTGCAGAATTGTTCTCTTTCAGGGGACAGATATTATCATAGTGAAAGGGGCTTTTGCAGTTCGACCCTGACATGTTTAGGTAATAATGTTGTTGACAGCTCACAAGGATACAATGCGGATATTTCTCACAATGTGTCAAAACGTTTGGCGTGCCCCCTTCTCTGGGAACTGTGCGCACCTAAGAAAACACCAGTAACTGCTGCCTCTGAATTGCCGTCGGAGTTTGGATTAGGCACAGCTGAAGAAGACATCGGCTCGCCTGCGCTTGTGGCTGCTGAGAAGATCAAAGGCTGTTCAGGCTGAGAACAACGTCGACTATGAGAAAACCTGGTAACAATCGAGAGCTAATTGAAGCTGGAGTTAGATTGGCGAAGCACATGGTGTTACTGGGAATACACGGAGCTTATATTGGCGCAGTCGTTGCGCACAGGCCCGTGATGTGATCCGTGCGCTCGGCTGGTCTCTTGGGAACTCTCAGAGTTGTTGTTTTTTGTTGTTGTTCTCAAGGGTCAGAGACAGAGTTAAGTGAAGGGCAGGAGGTGATGTCTTATGTCCATCTTCCTCACGTCTGAAAACCTTATTTCTTCTAAACTGCCTCATGCTTTGACTTAATATGCTGCTTGTTTGGTGCAACACAAGCCCCCCGACAGACAGGCAATGTATCACTTACCTTCCTGCAATATAGATACCTTTATAAAGCTTCTTTAGGCGAAATTAAAGGCCATATTTAATTATACTCTCTCTGCAACAACATTAACATAAATATATATATATAACTAAAAAGTTGAATAAAAACAAAGATCCACCCCACACCCCAACAAAGTCCAAGTCCATGTTACATTCCACACAAGAATTAATGAAACAAAAAACAAAAAACATTTTGAGTGGCAACACCATTTGTTTGGCAGTGAACAGAAAGAGGTGCACTCACTGCCAGCCCATGATGCAGTGAATTCTTTTCCTAACAGGATATTCAAGGAGAGTCTGGATAAATCAGAACATTCAGCCTCCAGGCTTATACCAGCTCTCCTTACATCAGCTTTGACTTTTAAAACACTGCTTTCACAGCCAAATGAGAATTATATGGTGTCATCAGTAACACCGAAATCCTGTAAAGTCAGACTAGAGAAAGTCGGGTGCTGTTTCTTTGTGAGGAGTGCACGCATGCAGTCTGATGGAGCAGACAGTAAGGTTCAAAACACAGCTGGGTAGACTGTTTTTACAGCAAATACAAGTCTTCCATTAGTACAAAATGCAGGTATACAGTATGTCAACTAAATATATAGAATTTAGAAGGTAATAAGTACCCACATTGAACCAAGCCTTTATTTTTCTACAGATTGTTATTGCTGATACTAGGTCTACAATTTTGGTCAAATGCAGTCATTGCCAAACAGACATTAAATTAGCAGATACCCATGGAGCTGCAGAATGTAGTGAAGTAACACTGCTATCAGACTGAGTGAGTGAGCAGGAGTCCATTAAAATCACATTACTGCTTAGGGATATCATGTTTCTGTCTGGTTTATACAGAAAACAGGATATTTGGTAAGATGTGAATAGTTCTGTTGAAAAGAGAAATAAAGAGCCCTGGATTGTACTGTATGTTTTTCAGCTCAGTGGTGGAAGTATTCAGATTATTTACTTACTAAAAATGTACAAATACAAATATATGAAAATAATCCATGACACTTGCATTCAAAATTGCACTTTTTTTTAAAACATGACCAATAAAACAGGCAAGAAAAGTGAAATGAGACTTTAAAAATGAAAATATTGTACCGATGCTACCTATTAAACCTGCTAAATTATGTCAAAAAACATCTTTTATATCTCAGGAAACAAGCAGGTATCATATGTCACTTAAACATTCCACAGCTGTGGGCACAAAGTACCTTCTAAACCATTCTGTAGAGCATCTTGGCATCTTTAACCGGTCACTCAACACACTTCTTAGACTCTAATAATGCAGAAAAGAGTATGACCTTCAAACTTAAGTATGGTTCTCCCCTCTGGTTCTTTCTTATAAAGTCAAAAAGATTTTGGAGGGAAGCAAAGGTAGTAAAAGTAGCAAAAAGTAGTACTTTAAGGTAGTAGTACAGAACTTGAGTAAATGTACCTTACTTTCATACGTTGCTAAAGCTGCATTCATGTGTTTCAAATGGCTTTGTTTTCCCCTTGCTGGATGTAACACTGAGGTCTTTAGCTTTTGATAAACCTGACACATGTGCAACACTGCATGGACATGTGTGTGTGTGTCTACAGGCCTGAGAGATGAGGCAGAGGCGCAAAGGTCAACCAAGGCTTTGTGCCATCCACAGAGATCTGAGGGAGAGCAGCACACCCCAACATCATCAACAAACGCCCCCCATCTCATGTCAATACGCGACAAACAAGACTCAATGGATTTCCATGCCGTTAGCACTATGTCACACGTTTTAATAGCTTGCATGTAAACGCTTTGCCATGTGATGACGAAGCAAGTGATGATGAATTAAGGCATAATGGCTCAGATAACGTCATTATCCCAAGGGGCTTTGCACTCAAGTCTGCTGCCCAAGTTTCCATGTCCCCACCATATGATAGGAGAGCAGAGGACAGGCACGCTGTGGTTGGAGGGGACTCGAGTTACATGTTGTGGGATCAGTCCTGCTGGAGGCCGGTTGGAACAAAGAGAAGCAGCCTGGCAGCGAACTATTTTAGGGCAGTGTAAACAGATTTTAGGGACTTCTAATAGCTGTGAATGCTGGGGGAACTGGTAGATCTTGAACTGGCAGTGGGGGGGGTTGTCTTTCTGTGTTAAACACAGAGATGTAGTAAGAGGTAGAGTGACCTAAAACTCTGCTTTATTTGCTAAAAAGATTTTACCACCATTTATACCAGAGGTGCAAATTTACACATGTATTAGTTTCACGACTATTGTGGTTTTGGACCCTTCAGTGGTTAAACAGCATAACTTAAAGATAATACAGTATATGTGGTCTGATGCTTGTATTGCCTCTGTTTGTCACGCACTTACCTTTCCAGCATGCCCTTAAAGACCGAGGAATACAGCGGTTTAGAATTTAGCAGAGGGAGCAATTTATTTTCTTGGTCAGTTATGTACAAACATTTAAATAAAATATCAGCTTCCTTAAAGAGTTTGGTTGTGAATATAAAATAAATAAATCTACACATCACATTATTATAAAATATGTACAAATCTGTTGCTCCTGCTGTACAAATGAAAGACTAACAAACAGAAGCCAGAATGGCTGAACACAGTGGAAATAATTTAGAGATAAACAGTGGAAATTAAATTTTTCTAGTCCAGGTCTTCACTAATCTTTCAGTTTTCTGAGGCGTCCTCTCTGAAGTTGATTTTGTCGTCGTTGGTGATGCTGTTCACAATGGATGACAGACGCAGGAGGCTGGAAGATGCAGAGGACTCACTGGTTTCTGAAAAAAACGGAACATGACTTACTACACTGCTTGACTGTTGGTTTCATTTGATTTATTTACTTTTTATTTGTAGATTGTGAGTGCAGTTTGACAGATATACCTTCTCTGTGGTTTATCATTGCTGTGTTGGAATGGTCAGCAGAGGTCGGCCAGGTCTCTGAGGACTTTTTCCAGTGGTACTCATGACTGGCCACCTATAGAAACACACATCATCACATGTTATCCATACAAGTTTTTTTCAGTTAATATTAAACCACATGGATAAACATAAGTATATCTGATCAAAATTACAATTGCCCCAAGGAAAGTACTTGTAGGTTAATCCAGAAAACAGGCCCATAACAGACATTGAAAACAAATAAATAGTCTACTTAGAAAAATACATAAATGTACACATTAATATCAGTGACATAATTATTGAGTTTCACACTGTTAGTCCCAACTGCAATCAAAATACCAGCTATATAAACATGCAGTAAACACATCCTAATGTCATTAAAAGCACCACAGACACAAAGGATATTACTGATACAATGGGGATGATTAAAGCACATCATGAAGTCACAGGCACCTGAAAGACTCCTAAGGAATATCACTACTACTACTACTATGAGGATTTCTTTTCTGAGTGGTGGTATCCAATGCTTACACTGTGTTCTTTAACGTTAAGGTTGTGGGATGATCCGTTTTGCGTTTTCTCCTGCTCATCCAGCGTCTGCAGCAGGTCCTGTAACTTCTCAATGTAGCTGATGGCGCTGCGTAAAATCTCCACCTTGGGTAGCCTCTGGTTGGGGTTGGCCACGGTCTTCCTCTTCAGCGCGTCAAAGGCCTCGTTGATCTTCTTGAGCCTCCTTCTCTCCCTGAGCGTGGCGGCCTTGCGTCTGTCCGTCGGCGCAGACTTTCTCTTGCATATCTTGCAGGCCCACATGAGGCACTGGCCGTCACAGTGCGCACGGAGACCCGGCGGCGCAAAGACGTGCTCCTCCCCGCTGCTCTCGCCCCCGGTCTCGGACGGAACATTATCCTGGCCCGGGGACAGCGGGCTGTCATTGCCGTAGAGGGGAGACACCCCCGCCATGTCCAAATGCTGAAGCGGTCCATGATCCCCTTCTTCCAAATAGCGCAAATCATTGAAAAGATAAGGGTTGGTCTCAAAAAGGTCCATCATATTGTTGCTCCCCTCTCTCTGTTTTGACAGTGGGATCACTCTGGCATTTAAACAGAGCAACAGGGACACAAGTCACCAGGCTTATATATAGAATGTGAAACTCTACCCAACACTTTGGCTGTCACACTGCATCAAGCATCTTTTTTCAATGGCTCTCTACAACCTACTGACTTTGTGTAGGAAACAAATATACATTAAGGCCTCCAGAAGTTATTGAAATGTCACCTTGGGTTTCATGACAGGTGTTTTAAATATCTGCATTTGGACAAAATGGGAAGACATTTCCCAGGCTGCCAATGAGAAAGTGAAAGACATAATACTGTTGTTCCACAGTTAACATGGCAAAAACGGAATGTTAATGGATATGGAGTTATCAGTGCCACTTTCATAACAAACACTTTATAAGAGGTTAAGATGTTGCAACTAATCGCTTTATTAGTGTTTAACTTCAAAGAACAACCTTTATTGCCAAGTTGTGTCTGATATCCTTCTGCAACATAAACTGTTAGATCTTTACTTACAAGGTCATCAGTCGTTATAGATATCAGAGGGTTGTTTATAAAAGTTAGAAAAGTATTTCTTGCTTTTTAACAAAGTAAGCCTCAGTTACAATCATAAATCAATTGTTAATACATTTGCATTTTGACTCAGATGCCCTGAAGCTCATATCCAGAAAGCTAGCTGAAGGACAAAGCAATTTTATGCAGCACAGGGAGGCCCTTATCTATAACACATTGATACTATTTATTAACAAGTAATAAAGCACTACTTACAATGTATAAAAACATCATATGCCTTGTTAGAGAGTGGTATGTAAAGCAACTACAATCAGTATGTCTGTTAGGCTGACCCCGAAAGATTTGACGCATTAATGAGCATAGCCTGATTCGACTGCCAATCTCACAGTCTAAGCTTTGCAGCGAAACAAGGATCACGCCATTTTGTCTATATGGGGGTGCTCAACGTTGATTTTACATAGAACTACCAGTTTTCTCCCAATAAGTTAATATACAGCCTATTACAACATACATTTCAACGTTTAATGCTGTAAATAAATATATAAAAAGAATAAAACTTTCAATAAATGTTTTTGAAGTGCGTGAATAAATCCAAAATTGTAACCCTAACCCTGGGGCGTCAGTGCGCATGTGTAGGCGTAGCGTGCATGCGTGCATGTGTGCAGTGGCAGGAACACTTGCTGAAGAGACAGAGCCCCAGCCTCACTGGTGTTGTGATGAGTTGTCCAAACCTTGCGGGACTTTTGGATAATTCACCACCATTGATGAACCACATAGAGAATATTTTATTTATCAATTTTAAATAGCCAGCTACTTGAAATAGACCCGCGAGGAACAGCGATGTGCATGCAGTTGTCGGAAGCAGTAATGCACGTAAAACTCTGCACAAGACCAGTGAAGGACAGGCGAGAGAGAGAGAGAGAGAGAGAGAGAGAGAGCCTTAGTTTAGCTGGAAATTTACAGTGTAAGTTGAATGAAAAGAGGAAAAGAGACTGCAGCTCTGCAGCTTCTCAAGATTAAAGCGGAGCTACTGTGTGTGTTCCCCCCCGCTCGCAATCGCCACGCACACAAAAAAACACGATTCGAATATCAGTCGACTATAGGCAGGACATGACCTCTACATGCTTTGTAAGTTGGAAAACCTGCAAAATCAGAAGTGTATCAAATACCACTGTAATACCACTGTATAATATCCCACTGTATTAACAAGGTCACTCGTGGTAACGAATACACAGAAAATTATTACCCGACTTTGCAACTCCCTCCAGAGTGTTTTAGCTTCTTTGAGGAATGAGGAGGGAGGAATGTCCCCCCAGGAGCTGGGTGCAAAACAGAGACAGAGTAAAAACTGGATTTACATTCATCAGATGGACACAAACACGACTCCAAATGAATGTTAATGCTGTTCAGTATCTACTTAATGTGTAAAAGAGCAACTGTTTGCTAACAAGCTTGCCATATCAAATTAAAAAGTGTTAATATGTCAGTGTTGTGTTTTCAGATTGCTTCCACTGCCCCCAAGTGGCCCCAGAAAAGTCAGTTAATTGCCCATTATTTTAGTTAAGGTAGTAAAGGCTTTAAACAATCATGCCCACTGTTATAATCTTCTGTATACAGGAGCCATATAATCCTATACACACTTCAGATGTGTTGCGCCTGTTTTAGCCAGTGGGAATGGTATGGCCAATTGTAACTTGCAGAAAATCCTAACATAGATAGATTGGAATGTGCAGAGTCAAAACAGCTTGGAGAAACGCATGCATGGGATGTTATAAATAGAATCGTGGCTCATTCATCTCAGATTCATAAAATAGATAAAAGCCTGTGAGGAGGTGTTAGATAGCCCGTGGCATTTTTGCTGCAACCTTGAAAGGTCTACAATTGGAAACTTCACAGGCGGGAATGTGCGGGATTCCTATTTTTGTATGCCTACAATTCTGCTGGGGGTTTTACTTTTACCCTATGGATGTCCCTCCCCCAACACTCCAGGGTTCTGTTACGTTGTTGTGGAAGGCTGAGAATCACTGGTGCTTTTCATCATTTGTCAGGGTTTCTGAAATACTATTGCCAGTCAACATGGTATACATACACAGTGTGTTGTTAAGAACAGCCAAGTGAGAAAAAACGGCAATCTTGTTATGCCAGACCTGCGAGGTGGATGGATTATCTCGGCAAAGGAGACGTGCTCATTAACACAGATTTTGACAGATTTGTGAACAACATTTGAGAGAAATAGGCCTTTTGTGTACATAGAGAAAGTCTTAGATCTTTGAGTTTAGCTGAGTTTCTTGGTAAATCAGAAATCGAAAATCAGAAGGAGCTTTATTGCCAAGTAGTGTTTTACACATACGAGGAATTTGCTGTGGTGATAAAGTGCTACACGTAGACAAACATACAGTCAACATATATAAATGTGGAAATATATAAATATGGGATTGAAGAACAGCGTTGCAGATATATACATGTGCATTATTCTGGGACTGTGCCGTGCAGAAGCAACGCAACAGAAGAGAATATTGTGTACATATGGTAGTGGCATTCAATTCCACCAAACTTTTTAGCCAAAAAACACCCAAAAGTAACCAACATCGCAACTGGCTTAAAGTTAAACAGAGCATGTGCCCAACATGCAACACTGCATGACGTACCTTCCCTATTGAGTATAACCCTGATTAATGTTATCAGTTCCACCTGTGCAAGTCACAATGCGCCTCATTCACTAATTATTAGTGATTAGAAATGTTCTTACGCACACAAAATTACCGTTGAATTCAAGACCCGTTTTGTTCTTTCCACTGTGCCTATGTATGTAAATCAGAATCATTCTAAATTGACAGGCGCATACCCACTATTTGCAATCAGCATACTGCCACGCCCCCATTTCTCTATGTAAGGAAATGCATTTGCCTAGAGGTGTATCATGGAGAAAGTGTTGTGAAAGTTGTTCAGAGAACAGAGAAGCATGACCCCTAAAGTAAAAAACCTAAAGAATTTTCCAGCTGAAGAAATTGAAACAAAAGTGTCCGAAGTGGAGCCAGAAAAACGTTCATCATATTATACATTACAGCAGAGAAAAGCTAAACTTTTCAATATGGACATTCTCATATGTTCCATTGTAAGCTAGAGCTTTTGCACTGTTTGTGAACGAGGCCCAATGTTTGCTGTAAAAAGGCTATTCTTTTTTTCATCACTGAGATTCTCTTCAATCAGCGTGCTCGGTATAAACATTTTGACTTGTCATTGCAGGTTAAGCACAAGTGTAACTAATAATATTAATGATGGCTCTGTTCCATTTAGGTCAACACTGACTTTAAGGATAAAGATATCAGTTTTCCTCTCCAATAACAAGTCAATATTTCCCCAATCTTAACCATTTTAGTGTTTTAGTAGTCCAAACCCAATGGGAGGCGAGATGCAGGAAACAAACCCCGGTCTCCAGTGTCAAAGTCCTGTACTCTGCGAGCCCCTACCCTGCAGGGGTATATATTAATTAATATTATTAATTACACATGTGCATTTCCTGCTGTGACAAAGTGTGGCCCATTGTATTTCTGCTTTTGCTCGGAATTTCTTCAACTTTTTGTTCAGAGCAGAAAAAGATGAAATTGTCATGAACAACGAATACAGACTGAATCAGCGCAGTGTTATATTAATTGATTATAAAGACCAGCAAATGACACCTATATACATAAAAATGTCAGATAATGTTATGTGTTCAATATGTTCAGGTCCACAAGGAATTTCCTTCTTGCTAAAGCAGCAGGACAGAATATAGGTATATAGTATTTCATTTTCAGAATATAGTGCAGCTCATACTGCAGTTACGCCAGAGACCCTGCAATGTTATGTATAATTTATCACGTCCATAGAAACCTTCTAAAAATGCTGAATGTGCTTTAGTAAAATTCTTGAATTCTGTTGTCAGTGGTGTTAAAATAGTAAGCACACTTTTCAAGATATGTGTATAGCATCAAATATTACAAATGCATGAGATTTCCAGTTTTTGTTATTCAGAAGCGAGGTATTGTCAGGGCAGTCACTTAACAACAATAAGGCTCCTATTATTGGTTTGCTCTTTGTGCACATGTCATGCAGCAGAAATGATGTATGACATAAAGAGAGAGAGAGAGAGAGTGTGTGTGTGTGTGTGTGTGTGTGTGTGTGTGGGTATATGAATGTGGTGCATTAAGTTATCTCAAGTTGAAGGTGTCTGTTTGTGAGTGTGTTTGTCAGGTAAGATAGATTTTGCATCCAGTAGTTAAAATAAAAACAAAACCAGTGCTGCATTCCCTGTCACTGACACTTTCTTATTTTCATCCAAACAAATACAGACAGAGAAAAGGAAAAATGACAAATGATGATAAATTAATTATGATGAGAAATATATTGGATTAACTGCTACTAATGGTTTATAAATTTAACATATATTAATATTAAGACTGACTATAATTGGCCTCAATCACTAAGCTGAAATGAATTGTTCACTTTTTTTAGATGAATGGAGCCGTGTCCCTGC